AGCCAGGGTGGAAGTGTTTACACCAGGGAAATCAGCAAACGCGCCAAATCAGGGCTCTCCCCTCCCCTTAGCCAATTGTTAATTATCAGCACATCATTCACTGATCATTAGAAAGTATTTCTTCGAAAGTAGTCTTTTATATTTGCAAGTTTCTTATATAAAAACTTTAAAATTGTATCTGACTACTTTAAAGATTTCTATTTTTGATTTCTGGAAAGCATTTTTCCTATTGTATTTCATGATCTATTCCTGACATAGTTACTGGCCAGAGCTTCGTAACAAAACACCACCACCTTGTGACAACTCCCTAAATTGCAGGTTGGAGTTCCAGTGGGCTCAGCCAGGACTGGAGCAGATGGTATTTCCACCGATGGGCATTTTAGATGTTTCCTCTAGCCTCTCCATTCAAGTTCAACATTCTGTGAAAGATTACCCTGCTTGACCTCTTCATTATAGCCAGGACAAGCCTAAGAGAGGTGCAGGGGAGCCTGTGCCCCCAGGGACATGGTTGAGTGAGGCAACCTCTGGTGCCTTGGGTCAGTGCTTCTCAGACTTCAGTGTGCACACGTTCATGGGAATCTTGTTCACATGCAGCTTCTGATTCAGCAGGTCTGGTGTGGACTCTGTGATCTCGTATTTCTGTCGAGCTCCAAGACAACAATGCTGCTGCTCGTCTGCAGATTACACTTAAGAGTAGCCAGAGCTGGTGAAGGAAACTTTCCCCAGGTGGTAGGAATCCTCAGAGAGCTTCTCTTAGGAGATGGCCATGGGCCATGTTTTGCCTTTTGGTAAGAATTCAAAAGCTGTGTGTTTTGAATGCATAGACTTAGCTCATTTGCTTCTAACTATTGTTCAGCCAACTTGTTGACTTAATTCTTAAATTTTCATATTAAAGAAATTTTTTAATGTTTATTTTTGAGAAAGAGAGACAGAGCATGAGCAGGAGAGGGACAGAGAGAGAGAGGGAGACACAGAGTCCGAAGCAGGCTCCAGGCTCTGAGCTGTCAGCACAGAGCCCGACGCGGGCCTCGAACTCACAAACTGCGGGATCATGTTATGGGCTGAAGTTGGACACTTAACCAACTTGAGCCACCCAGGCACCCCGATATTTTTTTTATTTATTTGGAATCTATTTTGGTGTATAGTGTAAGGTCCTCAAATAGCTAATTCATTTGTCTATACATAATTCATAGTTTAGTCCCCCTCTTTCCACAAATTTGTGAGATTTCCTTATATATGAATTTTCTTATATAGACTAGAGATCACTTCTGGACTATGCCATGTTGCAGGGTTGTTGTAGCTTTAAAACATATTTTGATGTCTAATGAGGCCCGTCCTCCCTTAGTGCTCTTTCTTGACTGTTATCACCTAATTATGCAGATGAACTTTAATACCATCTTATCATAATAAGAAAAACATTGAGATTTTGACTGAAGCATAATAAACCTACACATTAATTTGAAAAAAAATCAACATAGCATGTCTTTCTTTTCATGTCAGTCACTTTTTATAGCTTTTAGTAGAATTTTACATTCTTGACATAGTATCACACTTTTGTATCAAGGTTATTTCTAGAAATGTGGTGCTCTTTGCTATTTTAAATATAATTTATTATTTTATTTATATCATTATATAAAATTTTATTTTATATTATTTATATTCGTAAGATAGCCATTAGCCACATGTAGCAATTTAAATTTAAATTAATTAAAATAAAATAAAATGTAAAACTCCGTTCCTCAATTACATTAGCCACATTTCAAGTGCCCAGTAACCACATGTGGTTATTGAAAAGCTCAGATATAGAACTTTTCCACCATTGCAGAAAGTTCTGTTGCACAGCTGTATAGTGGTATTGTTGATCCATTGTTGATCCAGTGGTATTGTTGACCTTATATGTTGTTACAGTATCTTATTTTATTTGGGAACACTTTTCAACTTATTCTTTTAAATTTCTAGGAAGAGCAGTTGCTTTTACCCAAACTTCTGGTTTATTTTCTGCAACAGTATTACCCTGATTCTCTTCCTAAAGATGAAAGATGAAAGATGATTCTCTTCCTAAAGATCTTTCTAAAGATGAAAGCAGGAAGGGCCAAATATCCCTGATGGTTGCTACTCCCACACTCGCCATGGCAGACATCACTAATCAATCACAGCACTCTTCACTGTTCCCTGAACTATTGCTGTTTTTGAAACTGACATCTTCGTGCCTTGCTCTTCTCTGGTTCCTGAGATGGAATAGGATGCAGTGGCAGGAAAAGAGGTGTCTTCCCCATGTGTGGTCCCCAGGGGAGGGCCTTGATCCCACCTCCTGAGAGTATTTCTCCAGTCATTCTCCTCCATGGCCTTCTATGGCCCCACTCAGGGAGGCCTGTCTTTTCTGTTTCATTATTCTTATTGCACTACCTGAAGAGGACATCTTTTTCAGCCTACTTCCTTCCCCATAGAAGGTTGGGGGCCCAAGGTTCACTAGGGGTCATTTTAAATCTCAAACAGTTGAGGTCTTTTGCAGGCGATACTAGTGGGCGTTTTGGGCACAATACTTCTCTGAAATGTGAGTTGTCTTCCTATTTGATTCAGCTCCACATGCCATAGCCACACCACAGTCATTTCCTAGACATGCCTCTCTGTCCGGCATAATGGCTGGCACCTTGCACTTATGAGGCCTCTGTGAGGGAACCACACTTTTGGTCTCCTGTACCGAACCATGCTTCTCACACTGAAAGAATGTACTGGGCACCATCTTGACTGGCCCTCGCTATATAGCTGAGTTCTTTTTTTGTCTCACACAAATTTCTTGAGGTATATTTACATACTGTACAATTACCCATTGTAAGTGTACAATTCAATGATTTTAGTAAGTTCATAGTTGTGCAACCATCACCACCATTAAATTATGGAACATTTCCACCACCTGGAAAAGTTCCCTCATACCCATTTATAGTCAAGTCCCCATCCTGACCCCAACCTTAGCGATCACTTTTCTGACTCTATAAATTAGCCTTTTCTAGACATTCAGGATAAATGGAATCATCTTTTGCATCTAGCTTTTTTCACTTAGCTAGATGTTTTTGAAATTCATACATGTTGTAGCATGTGTCAATAGTTTGTTCTTTTTAATTGCTGAATAGTTTTCCATTTTATATGTATATCACTTTTTGTTGATCTGCTCCACAGGCAATAGACATTTATGTTGTTTTCAAGTTTGGAGCCATTGATGAATAAGGTTGCTATAAACATTTGAATTTATGTCTTTGTGTGGACATATGTTTTCATTTCTCTTGGGAAGTTTCCCTAGGAGTAGAATTTCTGGGTCTTTTGATAAGATTATGTTTAAGTTTTTAGGAAATTGCCAAATGATTTTTCTACAGGTAGTATACTATCTTATATTCCACCTAGCAATGGATGAGGGTTCCCATTTCTCTACACCACAAAGCTGAGTTTGAATTAGCATTTGTTACTCAAAGGCCTTCTCAGTTTTCCTTTCATTGATTAGTAATGAGAATAGGTTGGGTCTTCCTCAATTTCTGCACTCTCCCTATTCCTTTTCATTCCACTATAAATTGCCTAATTCTCTATAAAACTCTTTTCTTTCTTATCAAATGCAGCTAATAGCAACCAAAGCATGCTATTAACATTCTGACTCTCAATCTCTCCACTTAAAGCTATGGCTTTTTTAAGCTATGGCAGTTTATCATCTGCCTTCCAAGTTAATGCAGGCAATATTTTTACCAGGTACCTCATCACTGCATAACATACATCACCTCCTTCCAGCCTTAATTAAGTTTCCTTGACATCCACTGCCTTGTGCCCAAACACAATTTATTTTTGTTAGGGTAGAACACTACTTCTGATAGCAATTTCTGTATTAGTCAGGATGAAGATATTGTGCTCTAGTAACAAATAGCCCCAAATCTCAGAGACTTATGAAAATAGCAGTTTTTATCCTCCTTATTCATGCCACGTATCCATCCTGATCAGCCATATCTCTGCTCCACATCATATTTACTCTAGAACCCAGGGTGATAGAGTCACTGCATTCTGGAATGTTGCTTGTCTTTTGGTAAAAGGAAAAGAGGACATGTGAATCATGCACTAACTCTTAAAGCTTCCTCTCACATTTAATTAGTCAGAGCAGGTGAAGTGGCCAGTCCTAACATTAATGGGACAGAGACAGATAATCTTCCCCAGGGAAAGGCAGCAAATATTGTGAACAGTAGTATCATTTACCACATTATGCTTTTTTTTTTTTTTAAATATCCTGGAGACTCTGGCAAAGAAAGAAACAGCTGCCTCTATGTGGTAGTTTTGCCCAGAGCTGCTCACAGCTAGAGTAAGACAGGGTGTCCTTTCAAAATACCTTATAGACCTAGGCCTTTGATCTTCATGGTGGTTGGCCCTGGCCCTGTGGCTTTGATACACAGAATTATTATATGTTATTCCTCTGTCTCTACCAGCCCCATGTGTTAGGTTCACGGAAAGATCTGATTGGATGCAATGTCATTTCTAGGGGGTGCCTGCGTGGCTCAGTTGGTGAAGGGTCTGACTCTCGATTTCTGCTCAGGTCATGATCTCATGGTTCATGAGATCAAGCCCCATGTCAGGCTCACATTAACAGCACGGAGCCTGCTTGAGATTCTCTCTCTCTCTCTCTCTCTCTCTCTCTCTCTCTCTCTCTCTCTCCCCCTTCCCCTGTTCACTCTCTCTCTCTCTCAAAATAAAGAAATAAACATTAAAAAAATACTTTACAGACCTAGGCCTTTGATCTTCAAGGTGGTTGACCCCAGTCCTAGGACTTTAATACACAGAATTATTACATGTCATTCCTCTGTCTCTGCCAGCCCTATGTGTTGGGTTCAGGGAGAAATTTGGTTGGATGGACTTTCATTTCTAGAGTTTTCCATTCAACGTCCAATGTCCTCTGAAACATTCATAAATCCATTTTTTTCTTGATCTCCAGCTTAAATGGACCCATTTATGTTTTTTTTTTTTCTTCCCAGCTGTCTTTTGGGGAGACATTGCCTTGGACGAAGAGGACCTGAAGTTATTTCATATTGACAAAGCCAGAGACTGGATCAAGCAGTCAGTAGAGGAAAGGGGACATGGCACAGGTAAGTACTGTGTCCCCTACTTCTCTTTCTCTGGGGAGAGGGGTCAGGGACTCCAGCAAGGGTAGATGTGGACCATGAGACATCAGTATCTGACCTGTCAGTCCCATGCACACCTGTTTGTGGAAAACCAGAGGGACGCTCTTTCTGCCCTACAGGCTATGGAACCAGAGCCTCCGATCTGCTGATCCTTGTAAGAGAACATCCATTTGCCTCTTTATCTGAAGGTTCAGACTCCAGCTCAGAGGGTTCAGACTTGAGCTCAGTGTGGGTTCTCAGGACTTTAGCCTCAGGGTCCAGCACTTCCCAGACTGGAGAGAATTACTGCATGGGCTCCATTTAGGGCATGTTTGTTGATGATGCTCCTAATGCTTAGCACTGGGGGGAGATGTTTGCCCGTGGGGTGCTGTGCTCTTCTTTTGCAGACGAACCAGGAAATACGATGGGGCTTCTGACGTTGGTACTCTTCTCCCTCCTTGCCTCCACCCTGGGGTGAATAGTAGGGGGACTGTGTCTTGAGTTCTCAGTCGCCCTGCCCACTGGGCTCAGATGCCTCAGCTCTGGGGAATCCCCATTCTGAAAAGCAGCAGAAGGGGAGGCTGTGCTGTGAGGCTGATGGGCCGGTGTGGCTCACGATGGCTTGCTATTTGGTGACCAAGGTTCACACGTGCCTGTTGCCAAACGACCTCTGCTACTTGCAGCCCCTCCTCCCACCCTCTTTCCTTTCTCTTGAGACTTTTTAACACTTACTGTGGTAAGAACCAAGGGGTTTACGCTCTTGACAAATTTTTAAGTGTACAAACTGTATTATAAACTATGGGCCCAGTGTGGTATGGCAGATCTTCAGAACTTACTTATCTTGTATAACTGAAGCTTTGTACCCTTTTCGGGAGGCACCTGCCATGGCCAAATGCAGTGCTGGAGAAAGAGGAGTAAGATGTGACTCCTGCTTTCAAGGAAACCATTCATGCCAGGCAGACAGGGTTTAGACTTGGACAAGCTGTCCAACATCTCCAAGGCTCACTTTTCCTATTTGCAAATGGGGATGAAACCGGCACTCACTCCACAGGGGGTTGGGAGGATGGAGTCCAGGGTAATGCGCCAGCCTGGTGCCTGGTACATAGCAAGTTCTCAGGCAATGGCAGATGTGATCACTGAGGTGCTCCCAGTCTAGTGGAATGAGGCTGTCAGATAAATAGATGAAGGGCGGTTCCTCACGGCAAGTGCTCTGACGAACCAAGAGCAGTGGGAAGAGACAAGAGTGAGGGGAAGAAGCCTACCCAGCTGAGCCGGGAAAGGCATTGTGGGAATGGGAACTCTTGCATTATGTCTTGAAGGATGAGTATGAGTTCCTGAAGTCAAGAATTGAAAAGAGACATTTCGGGCAGTGGGGAAGCCATGTGGGGAGTATGAGAGGGCTTATCTCTACTCTGGGAACAGCGGTAAGGTGTGAGTCCCTGGAGTGTGGCTCTTTGGGGTAGGCTGTGGTAGACAGATACTCCTGGAAAGGGTGGCCGGGGTAGATGGTGAGGATGCCTGTCAGAGGGGTGAGTAGAAATGTGCCCAGAGTAAGGGGGCAACTCCCATGGCTCAAATATGAGCAACTACTGGGACTGGCCAAGTCCAAGCTCCTGCCAGGGGCTGGGGGAGGAGGGGGCCCAGGTTCCCCATCTGTTTGAATTTTAAATGGACTTTTACAAACCAAATTATTTTTCACACCAATATACACAACCTTAATCGGGCTCTCACAAAAGGAAGCATCTCCATAATTCTATCACTGCAACTAACCAGTTCTTACCTGGAGGCCTAAAGAAGTTGACCTCATTGTCATCTCTGTGTGGTTAAAATTTTTTAAACTTCTTTTTGCAATATTGCTTAAGAATAGTAAATTCACATGTCTCAAATACACAGGATTGTGAACTTTTACGTATGTCCACATAAACGCCACCCAGACCAAGGCATGGAACATTTCCAGAACCATGGACGCTCCCTCATGCCCCCTCCCAGTCAGTACCCATCCCACCCTCCTGGCCTCTGTCACACGGACTTATTGTACCTGCATAAATAGAGTCACACAGCATGCGTTGTGTCTGGCTTATTTCACTCAGCTTTTTGACCTTGTTGCGTGAAGCAGTTTGTCTCTCGTTGTTGCGTGTGGTATTCTCTTGTGTGACCGAATGCTAGTGAAGTCATCCTTCTGTCGACAGGCATTTAGACAGGTCACAGTTTTGGGCTGTGATCCGTAAAGCTGCTGCTGACATTCTTAGACGTATGTTAGGGTGGACGCAAGCACTGGTACCCACGGGGCAAGCACAAGTGGGATTTCTGGGTCTCGTGGTACGTAAGCTTTAGTAGATACCATCTGTTTTCCAAAGTGCTTGCACCAATGCACACTCTGTGTGGTACATACTGACTTGGAAAGTAGGAGCGGTGACCATGCAAGATCCAGGAGGACCCTGGAGCTGGAGCTGTTTGGCTTGGGGACCCTTCTCACACACTCTGGGCCAGCACAGCAGTTACTTGATGTTTGTCCACGAACACAAATGCTCAGGGTCACCCCTATTAGTGATCCTGTGTGGTCCTGGGGGGACCTGCCATGGCACAGCGTGGGGGTCCAGCCTTGGCAGATGTGAGCGGGAGACCCCAGAGAGAGTCCGGGAGTGGCCAGCCACCATGTGGGCCAGCTCCTGGAGGGTTGCCTGCCTGGAAGGTTGCCTACGATGCTCAGTGCAGGGAAGCCTGGAAGCCCTGCCTTCATCTCCCTCACAGCACTCCCCAAGGCCAGCATGGTCAGCCTCCTGGTCTAAGAACTTGGATCTTTTCTTTCCTTCTTCCCTGTGAACTCAGAGAAGTAGAGTCCACATCAAATTTGCCTTCAGATCCCTTGAAGGTGGCCCAGTCCCTTGTACCTAGAAGGCACTGGTCAACATGGGTGAGAGAGGAAGAAGGAAGAGGCCTGTGGAGATCAGCAGATCCTGGAACCATCTCCTAGGGGCTTAGATGATCAAGAGCTCCAATAGGGCTTTGCTTCCAGACAGATGGTTAAAGCACTGACTACAGTCATGGGCTTTGGGGTCAGACCATCTGGGCTTGGATTTTTAAGCTGGGTCTCAGTTTCTTCATCTATAAAATAGGAATAGTAATGCTGCAAGGACAAAAAGAATATGTATGAAGTGCTTAGCACAGTGCCTGGCTAATAATAAGAGCTCAATAAATATCAAATCTGCCACCTCTTCATTATTAGTAGTAATAGTATTTACAGAAAGCCCACTGACCTGGAGGGTGTAGGGCTAAAATGGAGAGTGGGGAAACTTTGCAATGTACCGGAGGGAACTTTGGTAGCTTGGGTTTGAGGCCTTTGAAACATGTACCTACCTAGTGTTTCCTCCTTCCCAAGCTTGGAATTTTTTTTTTTTTTCTGTGTGTTTTTATGGGAAAGTGATTTTTATCCTGATCACTTTTCTCTGCGGGCCAATAGTACTTTGCAACTATCTAGAATAGTTGTTTTATTTTCAGAATGGGAATACTTTTTATTGTTTTTGCTGATTAAACCAATACTGCCAGTTGTTTGGGAAAAAAAAAAGTCCAATAGCTCAAAATTATAGAAAATAGAAAGTAAAAATCTCCTGTTCTCTCAGCTCCAGGGATCCGTGCTGTTATCAGTTTGCTGGATTACCTCCAGCCTTGCCAGGCTCAGGCCATGTGCGTATAGGTATTTTTAAAACATAGAAAGGATTTTTCTCAACACCGTCTTGTGCAGCCTGTGTATTTCATTTAACACCACCTCATAGACATCTTTTCATGTGGTACATTGTGGTCTAATCACATTTAATGTGCAACTCTGCCACAATTCATCAAGCTAATCCTGTACAGATGGGCATGAAGATTGTTTCCCTCTTTTTTCTGGTAATTTTTTCCTATTAGAAGCAATGAGGCTGTGAACAACTTTGTGCATAGATCCTTAAACATTTGCTTTGATTAAAAAACTAACTAAATAAAAAGGAACCACACTTTCACTTCGTCTTCCTGCTTCCAATGTGCAAAAAGATGTATTCTTAGATTTAGGTTATTTCATTTCCAAGCTTTGGTTAGTGTTCCTGTGTTTTAGGGAAGGGAAGGAGTTTTGAGGGGAGGGGGCGCTGAATCCCTGCAGGGAATCAGAGCAGGGAGGGTTCAGAACCTTGCAGTGTAACCCCAGAAGGCTTCTTTCCCTGGTTCATCCCGTGAGTTTGGAGCTGTTCTCTTGGCTACAGAATGAAACCGTATCTTTGCCCTAGAAGTGACCAAGTTGGCCTCATTCTCTAGATGTGCCCAGTGTCCTAAATTCAGTGAGTGGCAGAACTGGGGTCGGAACCAGGCTTCCCAACTCCCAGGCCAGGGAGTCCTCCCCTGTACCTCCAGGCGTCCTCCCCTGCACCCACCTGTCGGCCGTGTTGCCAGTCAGAAGGAACAGAGACCAGCAGAGGTGCGTGTAATCAATCATTCCTTTGCCATCACTTGGAAGGTAGCCTGGAGCCTCTATGGGCCAAAGGGTGAGCAAAGACCTTTTGCCTGGGTTGGTTTAGGAGCCCAATGAGAGTTATGCACTGGCCACAGAAGAGAGCTGCTGAGGGCCCTGGGACCCCCAGCCGGGAGCCCCCTCGTTGTTTGCTTAAAGCAGTCAGTCTCCCTGCCTCTAGTCCGCCTTCCCCATCCTGCTTCCAGGTGATCTTCCTGGCCCTGACCTTGCAACCACCAAACAAGGGTCCCCCAAACTCATGTCTACGTGGAATCTCAGAATGTGACCTTATTTGGAAACAGAGGACTTGCAGACGTAATTAATTAAGGGTCTTGGGATGAGAGCTAAATGCAGTGACTGGTGTCTTTATAAGAGGAGAGGAGCACACAGACGCAGAGGAGGCCGTGTGAAGAGGATCACAGAGACCGGAGTGAAGCATCTACAGGCCAGGGAGCACCACAGAGCTGTCATCCGTTAGCCAGAGGCGAGGCAGGATTCTTCCCTA